TTAAACCAGTGATTTAACTTTAAAGTGACTTTTTAAAGTCGTATATTAAAGAGCAGTTTCAATAAAACAAAATAAACATTTTTAAATAAAATTATAATACCTTGAATTAATAGCAAGTAAAACCATGGAATGTACAGTTTGAGATGAGGAACCCAATGGTCAATTGATTTAAGACAGAAACCACAATTTAAACACTGATTCACGTTTGTTTGGTTTAAACACGACTTCGCAAATGACTATTAAGTTTTTACAATGGTATAAATATGATTTAAAGAAGACGTTGACTTTTCCGAGAGTAGAAAAAGTCAAAACCAATTAGCTTTGTAATTCTTAACTTATTAAATTTCAATGGTGAGAACTAATACTTTAGAGAGCACACTATCCCTTTCATATTGGTGAAACCTTAGCCTGAAGGTATCATACTCGCTACGCACCGACGTCACCGGGCGTAATTACCTTTCTAATTGTTTCTACTAATATGTGTTGAAAAGGTACAATTTTCTTAGAGTAATTTGAAAGGTGTTACAATAGGCATTGATTATAAATTTATTTGCATTGCGACAAGATTTTAAGTTCTATTGCGTGTATATAAGATACAGATGATTTATTACTTATTGGTAAAACTTTTCAAAGTAACATTAATTGTTTTAATGTTTCCTTCATAATATTTATAGAATACTTCATTAAATTAACATGATCATAAATTATTGATAATATCACGAATTTAACGCTAAGTAAATAATTAGTAGGTTGAGAAAAATTGTTTTTTCAATTCGAAGAATGTTACAAAATAATGAAACACAAGAAATATTTCAATAATGGAAGAATAATTACTGAAACAATTTAATGGAGAGAAATAATTGTTTGATTACTTCTTAAAATTAATAAAAACAGACGGACGTTACACAATCTATGCTATGATACGAACTTATTCTCGCAAATTTGTTCGCGTAAATGCTGTTTGACTGGTATAAACAGTGATGAATTAAAAAATTGATGGACGGAAATAAGAAATCATTCATTTTTTTCACGCAATTAATAGAATCTCTTATTCACAGTAAATAATCGATGTGGCATGATTACGTTACATGAGAATCGATTTATTGAGTAAAGTTTTAAATAAGAATTTCGACGTTTAAATGTCCTAATTCTAGATATGTAATACTTTATGAAAACATCAAAGAAAAAGTAATAAAGGGTCTAGCCGGATATGTATGACGAGTCGGCCCCCAATTGGGAACCTATATCGAAACTTATGTATTAAAATCGACTTGATGTACAAACACAATTTATGTACATTTCGCGACCAGCTTCCGTTTTGTCCTTAAGATATAGAAAAAAAATATCAGTGCTCTGCAGTGGTCTGGGTGCGACCCGAAAGGTCCACACGACCAACTTCCCAGTGGAAAAAATAAAAAGACAATTTGAATAGAACCCGTTTCCATTTTTCATAACCATTTTTTATGCAGAATCAAAATGAGTTTCCATTCATGTCGTACGGTTGGTAACTTTTTTTTAGCAAAAGAAAAAATTACGCGTTAAAAGAATTCAAATATATTGCATAGATCTCTATTTTCATTGTTTATAACAATTAAAATATTATCATGATCGATAATCATTTGTTATTAACAATGTTCAATCGTTATAAACACAATTTCTTATTATTAACAATAATCATTGACTATTTTATTATCCTCAACGCTATTTTCTCCATCCCAACACAAGTTTAAAATTTCTTTATTGCTGATTTCGTTTTTCAAAAATTTTCTTTCTATGAAATACTGTCATCATGTTTCTGTACAATTATTCTAAACATTTGATATTCATATTTTTCAAAAGATCTCGAAATTCCGTCTAAAAAATGGTATAATTTATAAATTGCAGAATTTAGGTAGTTCACTATTTTTTCAGTTCTTTGATTCTGCATAAAAAATGGCTGGACCGATTTCGCTGAAAATCTAATCAGTTCTAAGTTACGTGATTACGCGTCGAATGCAGTTAGTCCCACGTCGATATCATTTTTTGTTCTCGAGATAATCGAGGCGAAAAATAATTCCGAACGCACGTACGAACATACGCACATACGTACATACAGACGTCCACGTAAAAACTATCGTATTCAACTCTGGGGACCTTAAAACGTGGAGATTTGTCAAAATTAGCGATTCGCAAAATCGGACCCATTACTATAACTTCCCACTGGGAAGTTAATAACCGTACCCATGACTACTATTCAAAATAATATATCTCAAAAACTAATTATGCTAGAGAAGTGAAACCAGCGCGAACCTTTAGATTTCATTACAGAGTACACTATATATTTTTTTTTAATTTTTATGTCATTTTGCTAAATAAAATATAAAAAAAAAAAAATCATAATTTTTTTTTTTCATGTTCTCGAAGACTTATAAATACAAAAATAATGTATGTTATGTTCTCTAATGTACACTATTACTCAGAAAAAAAACGTGAAAAAAAGTTGGTACAACACTTCGAAAAAAAATAAAAGGTGATTCGCGCCTTATAGTATACTGCAGTACTTTATGTTCCACGCAACATCACACTTTATTTTTCGAAGTGTTGCACCAATTTGTTTTAGAACATAGGTAATTTTTATCATAAATTGGAATAGTTGTTTAAAATGAGAAAAAAAACTACCAGTGTTCAATATTTATTATTATCATAACTTTTATTCCTTTCTGTGTTAATCAAAATACAAGAAACAAAAATATTAATCATCGTCGCTGTTGTAATTTATTACAACTGGAATACTTTGAGTTGCAAATAATTTTGTTAAGACCTCAGCAGGACGCAAAATTTTAGACGAATATCGTCCATATGACAAATAATAAATAATAGCTGCTGTATGAGAGCAGCATCCCACTGTACGGTTGCCATTGGGCAATCACAGCAATAACGAAGAATACTGTTGTAATCATTACCATCGGAAATATAGTGAATGTAAATACGATAGACTTTACTATTTATATGTCTTGATTTTACTTCTGCTTTGATGATATTAGGTGCTGATTTCACATATTGTACTGAAAGATTATTTTGATCATCCATCATTTCGGCCAAGTAAGTAATCAGTGTTTAAATTGTGGTTCCTGTCTTAAATCAATTGACTATTGGGTTCCTCATTTCAAATTGTACATTCCGTGGTTTTACCATCATCATTTGGAAAAACATCGTTCATTATTAATAAATTTATTTTCCAATGACCATCATTGTTATTGGAACTATTTTTTTTTATAAACAATTATAAATTTACATATTGCGAGTGAATTTATAATAAATCCAACGTTCTGTTGATTATTGTTGATAAAAAGCCTATAAATTGAATTAAATACTGTTTTCTATAAAAAAGACATTACTTTTTTTTTAAATCTCTCACCGTTCTCGCTACGTAAGCGGTGAAAGGTAGAAAAACGCAATTTGCCAAACTTTGACACTCGATAAACAATAGTAATTGTTTACGAGTTATAAAAATTTGCACAAATGCTCTCTTCATCATCCTTTACAAGAATATATAACCAAAAAATTTTTATTCTTATTCTACAATTAATGCACGATAGCATAAGGCTTAAATTTACGGCCACTAGACTATATGGCATTGTTAGCGAGCAAATGTATGCTGGGACGATTAACCCTAAGTCATACTTTTTTCTACTGCATATTTTGATCTGAAATTTCGTACTCACGAATCTGAGGTTATAATTTTATAATTTTCAAATTCAAGATGATGGACTAAATTTGTGAACTTCAATTAAATTTCACTAAAATTGCTACACAGAGGTTAGATTTGCAAAGTTAAAGATGGCAGCATAAATTTTGTGCAATTGAATCGTTTAGACCAATCGAGCAGACATGATTTTCTACTATTTTCATTTTTTTACATCTAACCTTTGATTCGTGATCCCGAAAACCCATATTGTATTTACGTCGAATGTTCCAACGCTAATAGTTGTTTTGTAATCAACGGCTCCGAAAAAAACCCCAAATACAAATGTTTAGACTAAAATATGCAGTAGAATAATGTCTGATTGGTTTGTTGAAATGATTAGTTCAATTTCACACATTTTTCTGCCATCTTGGATCTGTCATTTTGAATTTTGCAAATATAACTTCGATTTTATGATCTACGAACCTGAAAACGCTTGTGTACAAATTCAGACCAAAATATGCAGTCAAATATTCTTTGTCTCGTTGGTTTAAAATATAAGTTTAGTTTTACATATTATGCCCACAATCTTTGATTCGCCATTTCGAATTACGTCAATACAACCTCAGATTCATGTTTAGCGACTCCAAAAACACCCGAATACAAAAATTTAGATCAAAATATTCAATAGAACGTTTTTGACAGCAGTCCAAATAGGTGGTGCTCTGGCAGTACCACAGTGACTCAAAGAGTTAATAACGAAAAAATTCAATAATTACTAGGTTTCCGAATTCATTTGGTTTATGAGAGTGTAACCACTTAAAGATAACAATTGATTATAAGTAAGTGATTTTAACTCAATAATATTATTAAAAATTTGTTTTATTCACTGAATAAAACAACATAGTTGTAAATTTTAGTGCATTAAGTAGATTAGTTCATTACAACGATTTCTAACGATCGAATGGTTTAAATATAAGAAAATGTTTTTTTTTAACGGTTTTATAATGTTTTAAATAACTGTACATGTTTTCTATCATTTTTTATCGTTTGAACATCATTCGCTATCATTTACAAAATCGTTCCTACTTATCGATTAGATCAGCGGTCACTTCATATCATTGTTAAGTATGTTCTATAATGAAAATTTATAAATAAAAGTACATAATTTTTACGTAGATATTCATTTGATTGGCGATAGAGTTACCGATTTGGTGATAATTATGTTGCGTTTTACAGCATCCTATATTTTTGCGTACAAAGTTGGCTACTCTTACAAAGAATGTGAAATCTATAAGACGTGCAGTTGTTAATACTTGGGAATTTTGGCTTGCAGTTGCTCCTGTTTGTAGAAACAGCCAAGTTTCAATAATCGGAGCATCGAAGGGTGAAATATTAAATATAACATGTCGAGTAGAAGCTCATCCACCTGTTCTGCACTTCTTTTGGAAATTCAATAATACTCGGGATATAGATGAAACATCATCGAGAAGATTTTCGATTATCAAATCTGATAAGATAAATGGACTCGATACATTACAATATATACCATCTGTTGATCTAGACTATGGTTTACTTTCATGTTGGGCCAAAAATGAAGTGGGAATTCAAGCAAGACCTTGCCTATATCAAATCGTTATGGCAGGTAAGTATCATGAATTGAACTGAAATTAAATTTAAGTATGTCGTAGAAAAAAAAATTCAGAAAAAAAGGTTTAATGCTAGTTTTAACATAATTCAATTAAGTGACACCAAGAATTACAATAAATCATGAGCAGGAGAACTCAATGGTATTCCTCTCACCAGATGTTTATGTTACTTATTAGACCACATGTGTAAATTACGCGTTCATCGTTGAATCATATAATTCATTTTAATCTTTTAGAGAGATGCAACTCATCGGCTTAAATTATTTTATTACACTTATCCCTCAGCGCCTTCACAAGTTCTCAGGAGCGTTTAACTTCACTGGGCCTTTGCCACCTCTACCGCTAGCATCTATTCGGGCCAGCCTATCAGCTTTAGTGTTGCCGCATACACCGCTGTGACTCGATCTTTAGCAGCATTGTTTTGTTGCGGCGTACCGCTCGTTATAGCACCTTTCTGACGTTGTCCACGGATTCCGAGCCAATGGCCACCTGCAAAACGACCGTTAAGGCAGCTTAGCTTTCAGTACAAACATAGATATGCTACCCTTTGTAATTCCTGCTGACAATATTCATTGCGCACATTAAGATTCCATAAACTTCTGCCTGGAAAACGGACGCATCCCGGACGGATCACTGATCGCTATGTGTATAGGCGGGACGCCTACTGCCATACAGAGGCCATCCCTTGAGGTAGATGCGCGAGCGTGCTCATCTTGCATTGCTCTCCGCACTGTCAGTATTGCATTTACCGTTGATCACCCTTCCATAAAATTTTATAAGTCTTGCGAAGATTTTACCTAGCACTTATAGCAGACATATAGATCGATATGATTTTGGGTCTGCTACATCTTTGTCGGGACTCCTTAGGAGCATACGAATTGTTTCCTCCTTCCATATTTCTTGAGCAGATTTTCGAAGAGTGTGTTATCAAACGCCCTCTCTCTGTCCTAAAAGACTACGAGTGTTGACCTGCCTATCTCGAGGGCTTTTTCCACGACCCCTACGAGGTCATGAAGGACAGTTTATAGGCTTGCCACGCTGATAGACGTGTTACGCAGAGCATAGGGTCTTGATACACAGTGCACTTTACTTTAGATAACAGTCCACTAGCCACTCTAATGTTTGGGGGACAAATCCTCCTGTCGTAGCGGTCTTTCTCTGCTTTGGGTATAAACAATCTGACTGTACACTACGTCATCGGTATGTCTCTCATGGCAAGGCAGGATCGGTAAATTTGTACCAGTCTGCGCCATAGTCACTCGCCACCTATTTTCAATAGAACCGGATAAACTTCGTCTGTGCTCGGACTTTTTTTAGTGATCAGAGATACAACCGCTTGGTCAAGCTCCCTGTCCCCCCAAAAGTCTCTCCTTCTTGCTGTATCCCTTCAGCTGGGCATAAATGACTGCATGTCCCTGCAATAGCGTCCTATAAGTCCGGCACCATCTTGTTAAGTTTGGCCAGTATTCCAACACGTCCCTCCGGTTTTCTCATAAGTCTTTCTAGTTTCTATCAAAACAGGCCTCCAGTCAGCACTCCTTGGATCCCTTCGGACTTGCGGTTCTGCGCTGCTCACTTCCCTTGCCAGAGTGGAGTTGATGCATGGGTGGTCCACTAGAGTTTCCTTCTCGTCCACTTCCTATCCGTTGACAAAGTCATAAATTTATGCCAAGCCGACAACGCCCTTAACTGACTCCCTTCCTGGCTCTATTTTCGCCTGTACTGCCACTAGGTCCCCTGTGCAGTATTAGCTAAGCCCCACCCCCCCCCCTTTAGGGATTAGTTCTTATGTCGCGAAAACGCATGTCCTGGGGTCGTTGAGATTTCGGGGGACAATTACCCACCGGCTCTGTTCCAGGCCTCACCATATTGGTCAGTCTAATCTGAGACACAACCCTCTCCACCTTAGTCAGCCCCTGGGTCTTCGTACGTTGCCCAGAATCCCCGGGATTGGCATAGCCCGCCCATCCACTGCTCTGAGGTTTGCCCTCATCACAGTGCGCCTTTTCAGGCTCCTGCAGTGGCTTCCTTAGAGTTGGGCGGGGTTAGTGGACCCTTCTTGCGTTCCTTTTTTCTCCGAGAAAAGAGCTGTAAATATGTAGAGAAAAGAGTTGTAAATACCAAATTTGTACTAATATCATTTTATTTTCACTATTTTAACCTCGTAAATACCATTTGAGTGGTATAAATAGTAATGAACTGAAAAAATAAATGGACAGAAATTCGAAACGATGTAATCATTTATAGTTGTCAAATGAATCTTTTCTCCATTGTACACCATTAATGTGACAATAACGGATTGATTGCGTAGAGTTTTAAGTAAATTTTTTGTGACTTAAATAACCTAACTTTAAAAACGGACTTATGGAGGATGGAATTAAAAAAAAAGTAAAACATCCATATGTATTGATAATAAATAACACAAACTCAAATTTTACTACAGAATTTAGTTTTCGCTCGTTAACGATAAAAAAAATGAATTAATAATCAAATAGCATTCAGTTTTATTTATGTAATTATCATTATCTTTCGATTCGTCAAAAGACGAAGTTTATTCTGCAGACCCAGCTCTCTCAGCTTTAAGAGTTAGCCAGGGCGGTAATTATTTAGTGACTATTACAAGTGTTTCAGGATTCGTAGGGACCCAAAGATGACCGCCTTCTACAGACGAGTCAAGAGAATTTTAGCCTGACTTCGATAGACAGGTATTTTTTGCAGCTTGGTTAGATAACGGTCCCTCATCACTTCGAAGAGACAAACTATTAGGATAAACATGTGTGCTGTCTATTCGTAGTAGATATTTTTTCGTTCGGAGAAAAATACGGTAGATGTTAAATATACAGACAAACACCATATAAAATATTAAGTTCTGTTTTTCAAGAATCTGGAGGAAGCGGAATGACTGAGGAAATATCAAAATTTGATGCGAACATAGGTCTTACACAAAAACTAGGTGACTGCTACTGATCTTAACAAATAATTCACAAATTCATAAAGAAAAGTATCACAGAAAAGCGGCAATTATTGTGAAAAAGCAGAAATTAAATCCCATGATGAAATCGAAATTTTTTTCCGCTCACTATAAATACCTACAAATTCATTACATTTTTTTTTGTACTATCACAAAGTCATCCATATTCGGAATTAGTTTATTCTAACTACAAAATTACTACTTAATACTTTATTCAATTGAAATATTACTATGTAATGTAATTATGTACATTAGGCAGACGAATCGAAAATCAAATAAAATCCGATTAAAAGGGAACAATATATATTATGCAAATCAAGTTACGATCATAGATTCGTAAAATACTGGAAACTATATGAGTTTTCTTGTAGTTAGGAAATATTTTGATGCTTTTTAAGCATATCTGCAAAGAATAGAAAACGATATCAATAATGATTGAATAGTAAAGTAAGAAAATCTCCATAAATAAAATGAGCTGTCAAGTACATTGATTCCATGTTGTGTTATACATACATAACTATCGGAACATAGAAAAGAAAAAAAAATTTAGCAGTGACCCGAAATGTCTACGTGAGTAATACTTCAAATTTTTTTTTCTAAGGAAAAAAGTGTTTTAAAATGTCCCGCTTTTCCAAGCGCCGAGCCACAAAGCTATTGTACTAGGTCTGTTTGCAAAGTAAAAGCAATCGTCTCATGTCTTAGGCCTGCAGTTCCCAAGTTACCTTGGTTTTTTTTTAGCCCTGAACAGTCCCTGTTAATTTTCATGATGATTCAAATCGAACGTTATCCTTTGCCTCCGGAGGTTCCGCCAGCCCTGTGGCCCTCCGGTTTCCTCAGCATCAGGTAGGGAAGATCTAGAGGCCTGATGTCAACCTTAGAAGTCGTCTCAATTCCACAAGAAATAGCCCTGCTTTCGAAAATTCCGCCGGTTACCTCAGTATTAGCTAAAGATAATAAGAGAGAGCTGAAGATAACACGAAACTAATATGCTTATTCCATTTGAAGAACCTCTCACTGACCAATTTAATTATTCTGTAGTAATAATTGGTAAAAATTAGTGCCCAAAAATTCAAAACCATTTTTTTTTGGCAAATAAAATTAATCTTTTACTAATTGTGAAAGATCAATGTGACTGAATTCCATTACATAATAATAGATTAATTGCATCGAATTTTGAATAATCATTTTGTAGTTTTAATAACCCAATCTCAGATACGCATCGTTTTGTTGCATTTCTTTTTATTCACGGAGAAAACAATTGCAATAAAAAAAAGATCATTTGTAGTCGTTTTACACAGGTGGTAACTAATTTTCAATTAAAAAAAAGAATTGTCTGTTGAAAAACCTTAAATGTCTTACATAAATCCTGACTTTTATTGACAATAACAATTTAAATTATTACGAAAAGGCACATGAATTTATTGCATATATTCTATTTTCCATTATTTGTAATATTAGTTTTCTCCCATTACATTCAATATATGAAAAATATCACTAAACTTTCACCTACACGTCTACAACCATACAAGTGATTGTTTCATTATATATATTGGAACTAACTTAGAAGTTTGGTGACTGTCTCTTTACAATAGTTAAAGAAATTTTATGACAGTTACCAAACTTCCAAAATAACTTCGTAATATCACAACGAAGTTACGTCCCTGGGGGTAGATGAAGTAGGGACATTGTTTAGCAAGCAGATCGATAAACCATCAAACTAGTTCATCGATTATGTTTAAGAAATTTATCCTCCGAGAAGGTTTCTTTGGCCTTTAAGGCCATAGAACAAAGAAAGATAGAAGAAAGAACTCATGAACAACAGATAGAGAAAATGTTGGTGATGAGTTTCATTTGTATGACGATTCCCTTACGCTACAATGAAAACGGAATAACTGAGAAAATATGAAAATTTTTTGCAGAAAATAATTCTTTAATAATAGCTTGGTGACAATCACTGAACTTTTAAAATAACTTTGAATCCATTGCATTATTGTGAAACTAACAGATAGAAAAAGTATAAATGAA